ATGTTTTGTTTCATGTGATTTGTAAGTCAAGACTTGGGAATACTTACAAGTGTAATTACCCGCAGTGAAATTTTTTATTGTTAGAAACAGTTACAGGAAATTGAAGTGGGAAAAATGGCAAGAATTAACCTTTTTTTTTGTCTTGTTTTTAGGTGGTAAAATTGTCAACGAATATTACTGAGTGCATTGAATACCCAGTGACCTAGAAATTTGGAGGCTCCAAACAAATTTAGTTTTTTGAATTTATCGATTTAAACTTGCGTGGTAGGGGTATTTGTAGATATTCATACAAGAAAAAAATTTAATTAAACAAGACTATTAAATAAATAAATAATTGAATAAAAATAAATTTTCTTATTTTTCTAAACCTTGAAAAATTACCTTTAATAAATTATAAATTTTATTGAAGCAGTCACGAATACAACAAAGAGGAGAAAATAAAAATCATATTATAACAACGAATATTTATTCTTACACAACTTATTCTTAAAAAATGTCCAATTCACCATGGGTAGTTATTGGCCTTTTTTATTTTTTTTTTCCCAACGACATTAATATCTCTATTCATAAACCATAAAATAGAAATGTAAAAGGGGATCCCTAATCTGAGTAACAGAGAGGACATGCAATATTTGCAACCTAGTCGAGCCAACACAAACACCAAAAAAACTAAGGACACAACAAATACAAATACCACTAACACCACAGAGGAACCAACACAAAAAATAACAATACTGATACAGCAAAAACCCTCCCTCAGGAAGTACATAGAACAACATAACATGAAGAAGCCAGGGAAAACCACTGCCAAGAAGCCTAGCTCATTCTTAAACTTCCCAACTTAAATTCTGGAGTTGGAATTGGCAAACTCGAGCCAATCCCTCATTGATGCCTTGATGACCCACACCTCAGGCTGCCTTTCTTCTTCAAAAACCCAGATGTTCCTGGCTTTCCAGAGCCACCAAAGAATATAAATGGATAACTGGATTCTGTCTTCTGATATATCTTTGAAGTTCATGGAGTTGATCCACCACCACCACTGTTTAAAACTAAGTTGCTATTGGTGGACCATGTTCCATAGAACATGTGCAATTTGCCACACCTTAACTGCTCTGACACATTGAAACATCACATGATCTTGAGTTTCTACAACTTACCCACACACTTTACATGTAATGTCAATATCAAGCCCCCTGGATCTCAGATTAACATTAACAGGCAAGATGTTAGAGAAACACTGCCAAATGAAGTGTTTTACCTTACCTAGC